CTACTGAAATTGAATGAATTCTACTTTTATATAAGAGATCGCTGTCTTCTTTAACGATCGTAGCGCCGTTAACTGAAAATAGTTTCATCCGGAGATAGATTTCAAACTTTATTATACAGAGTATATTAGATTTCAAAAATTGACGAAACTTAACATAATTCAAGTGAATTATTTGTGTGTGAAAAAAAGAAAAAGAAAAAAAAAAAATTGAGTTCAAACATTTAACCTTCCCACCGCCCCCCCCTCTCACCACCACCACCACTACCATAAAATTATTTTATATTTTTCACGTGAGAATGTGAATTTTTTCGTTAAAGGTCAATTGAAAGTTGTAAGAAAATTATACATCGAGAATTTCTTCTTTTACGAATTATCATATAATAATTGTATATGATTTTATTATTAACATATATCGATTATTTTCTAATCTCTCAAAGTTATAACTTTAAAAAAAGAATTTTTTTATTATTATACATTATCCTACGAACGGGATATAAATTTTATTTAACGTTCTTTTATATCGTTCGATTTAAAAGGAAATATTTTAATGTATTCAATTTTAAATAATAATGATAATAATAAAGATATATAAAATACATGATAAAAAAGTAATATGTTGATAATAATGTTAATAATGTAACGATATATATCATAGTTTTCAAATTCTAGATTTCAATGTTCCCTAACTCGATGATTGGTTATTGAGAAAATTTAGAGAATTTTTGTTTAACATCGTATGAATTTAAACGTTTGGTAACACTGTTTTACTTGGTTGGTTACGTATTCACTCTTCTTCCTTCTAGCCTCTTTGTGAACGAAGTCAATCGTTTGTGAGCATTTTTATAAATACATAAAATCATATTTTACAGAGATAAAAAGCGTTTGAAATTATCTTTTTTTTCTTCTTCTTCTTTTTTCATTTTCATTGCAGTTACAAAAAATGGAGGACGACGGTGGTAACGTGGTTGATCTTTATATTCCCAGAAAGTGGTAAGAATCGCACGTGGATTTTCAAGAGTGTACCATGCGTTTTAGACATAGATGATCTTTTTATAAATTATTACAACATAAATAAAAAACAATCTACATATATATATATACATATGTATATATATATATATATACCTACTATTATACATGTGTACAACTGTATGAATATTTAATTGATAATATGAGATCAGTCGTATAACTTTGTATATTTATTAATTATATATAATATTCATTTTATTACATATCATATATGTATATATGTATTTGTTTTAGCTCGTCGAGTAATCGTATTATCCATGCAAAGGATCATGCGTCTATACAATTGACTTTGGCAGAAGTAGATCCAGAAACTGGACGTATGACAGATTCTACCAAAATGTATGCGATATGCGGAGCAATCCGTCGTATGGTATGTATTAACATTATAATATATAACAAGCAGATTAAATAAATATACTATTGTATATAAATTATATATATATATATATATATCTTATATTGATATTTGATTTTATTACAGGGTGAATCGGATGATTGTTTAGTTCGCCTTGCAAAAGACGATGGAATATTACCTAAAAACTTTTAATATATTATAATATAATTTCTTTTTAATAAAAATTATATTAATAAAACTTTTAATAGTCTTTATAAAATTATTTCAATTTTTATATTAACGATAAAGACAATGAAAATTTATCGATGGTTTCAATTAAAGGAAAAAAAATAAAAGTCCTATAATATAATATATTTATTGTTAATCTATCCGTATAAATTTTTTATTCTCAATATTAATGTATAAAAGAAAAAGAAAAAAAAAAAACAAAACAAACAAAAAAAAAGATAATCAAAACATCAGTACGGCTGATGACATTTTTGAATTTATTTGGTTCTGTACAGTTTTACTACAAATCTTTAATTATTATTAATATAATTATATATCATAATAGCGATTATTGTTCAAATAGTACGTTTCTATTTTCGTAAGATTCATATTTTTTCTTTTTTTCTTTTTTCTTTTTTTTTTTTGTTTTTCTTTTTTTTTTTTTGTTTTTTTTTACCGTGTAAAAAGAGAAGTTTCCTTATTATTGCAATGACTTCGCAGGCATAAAAATCGATTTATTAAACATAATAATAGATATATCACGATGCCATCATTATTATTGGCACTTAAACTTTTGTTAGAATAATCGTATAATTCATGTCTCGAAGCCATTATCAATATGAAAAATGAAAGTATGAAAATAATGTTGCGAGTAGATTCTGTTCGTAGTTAGAGCATTCTCATTAGACGCTAGATTTACAAAGCGTTTTATCAATTAGAAAATTATGTTTACATAGAGATGTAATATTTTATTTTGGTTTTCTAATGCAAGCAGCAAAAAAGAAGATCAAAGCCACAGTATGATCCATAGGACCATCGAGCGATCAGATCTTTTTCATTATTCGTATTGCTAAATGTGAAAACAATGATTTATCACTTTTTCAGAAATCGCAAACTTACATTAGTATATCGTAATTTTTTACAATAATTTAACGCGTATAGCTTCATAGAAGCGTAATATATTTAAAGCAAATAAAGAGGATTCTATCTTTTTATCTGTTTCCTTTTGAGAAAGACAAAATCATTTTGCTGAGCAATATATCAACATATTACGACATATATATATATATATATCATCATATATATATATATGTATATATATATATATATGATTTACGTGTTGCATTTGTACGTACACTCCTTTTCATACGTGCCTCTTTTGTTATCTAAAGCAATAATCATATTTGTTCTTTTTTATTATCCTAATCATCTTATTACATTCGGTATAATTATCATCCAAATACACCAAGCTAATTATTAAAATCATTGAAAATTAATAATTCGTATTAAAAATAATTAATGAAATTGATAATACGATACACGTAGGAAACGTGTCTATGGTGTATCATTCGTTATTATACGTTTCAATAACAATACAGGAAGATCGGCCAGATTTTATTTTTAAATAATTCTATATGCCGATTAAACCAACAGATGAGGGATGATAACTTTTCATTAATATCTCTACCAAATGTCTATCTATTTTGTGATAGATCTCTACTGGAACACGTAAGATTATGCAATGATGCAACACCACTATTTATATCTAACTTTAGTTATAACACCGATGCAAAATAAATTACAGATAGCTTCTTTCAAACAACCTTAATGTTAGTTTATAATAACATATTCGGCATAATATTAGTTACATATATATATATATATATATATATATATATATATATATATATATATATATGTGTGTGTGTGTGTATGTGTATATATATATATCATCGTGTCGTTACATATAATTATACATTTAATTTCATTATGTACTAGGAAATGTTTCTTTTTCATTTTTATTAAATAACAACTTCGTTAAATCTTACATATAATGGAGCATTTTTTTTCATTACATATTCTCGATATATCTCTTGATACAAGCGAAAAATCTTATGACAGTCTCTAACGCTATTTCTCTTACAACAGACACGTGGAAGATTATTATTATTATTATTATTATTATTATTATTATTATTATTATTATTATTATTATTATTATAATAATTATTATTATTATTATTATAATTATTATTATTACTATTATTAATATTAATATTATTATTTTTTTTTATTATTATTAATATTATTATTATTATTATTATTGTTATTATTATTTGCAAGACCGTCGACCGAACGTTAAAACTCGATGTACCATTATCGTTGCGGTAGGACGCACACACGATACGTTTCATTATTTTTTTTCTTTCTTTCTTTTTTTTTTCTTTTTCTTTTTTATTATTTTTTATTTTTTATTTTTTTCTTCATTTTTATACGTATAGAGCGTAAAGAAATAATATATTGTCCATTCGCCACATAATTCTGTTTTTATTTTGAGTCGATCATCCTCTGGCGAAGCGGTAACAAATCATTATTAGACATCTCGTATAGATTACTATCTAATTGTAATAACTAGTTCGAAGTATAGTATTTTACAAGACTTATATATGACACGAAGGAAAAAAATATAAACTCTGTATTTTGGCTTTTTTCTCTTTTTCATATATATATATATATATATATATATATATATATATATATATATATATATATATATATATATATATGTATGTATGTATGTATGTATATATATATATATATGCATGTACGTCCTACTTAATAGAGCATATAGTAATCATATATAATGCAAAGTTTTATTGTATTTCATCTATATTATGTGAAAATTGTATCGTTAATACCATCGTTAAACAGTCCAATTGAAAAGAAGTATTTGTTAAATAGACTTTATTGGTACTGTGGAATGTGCCAAGATGGACATCATAAATGTCCCTGACAAATATCGAGAAGTACTTTATAAAAGTGATGCTTATTTCTTCCATGTGCGTATAATATTCTTCTTTTTCATTTTATCATCATCATCATCATCATCATCATCATCTTCTACTTTGTTATTTATCTTCTTCTTCAATTTCTTTTTATTATTACATGACAATTTTCTTTTTCCTTTTTTTTTCTTTTTTCTTTTCACTTTTTTTTTTTAGTTTTTCTTTTTTTTTTTTCTTTCTTTTTTTTCTCTTTTTTTTTTCTTTTTCTTTTTTTTCTTTTTTTTTCTTTTTTGTAGATCCAAAAAAACGTACTCTTTCTCATTTTTATTAATACATTAACAGAATCTGAAATCATTCGATCCAAAATTATTCGTACGTGTGACGTTTGAACCTTGCATAGAATGAAAGTAATTGTTGTTTTGAGAATATCGTTATATTTCTAGGATACACAAGTATAATTCATTATTTGGCACAATATCGTCATATCGTAATTTATAAATGACAATTTTATGTGCAAAATAACGAACTATAAAACGTATTATCATTTAATAATATCTTTTATAATACGAGATAATTGATTTAATTCACACGTGATTTATAATTTTTAAAGAATATACAAACAA